GTTGACCTGGGCAGTGCCGGAGGAATGCGGGGATGAGCACGGCTGTGGAGAGAGGCAGGGGCGCAGCTTTTTTTTAAGGCCCTTACAGCAGCCTGGAAAGCATCAACAACCTTCCTTGGAAGTCTGTCTCCTGCACATGCAGTCTGGAGATTACTACCTGTTTAAACACTTAAACGCTCCCTGCTTTGCTGGTGCCGCTGCCAGACCAGGGTGTCACCCACGTGGTGCCAGGGCATCCCTGGCCGGGGCAAGCTGCAGCGGCTGCAGCGCTGCACGGGTGGGAAGTCTCGCCCTGCCTTCTGCTTTAGCAGCAATAACATTTCCCCAGCATCTGCTGGATGTCAGCTGCTAATTTTGCTGCTTTTGCTTTTACAAGAGTTAAAGGAAGAAGTAACCACAGAGGGGCACTGGGGTGCAAGAAACCGTATTTGCTGAACACACCCAGCATGCTAACCAGCCTTGTATTTGCACTCTTCCTTGTATTTGCTGCTCTTAGGGGCTTTGGATGCGCAAATCACAGTGTGCACTGTCCCTGCATTCCTGAGCTGCTTCTCTGCTCACTGCAGTGTCTGGAGCAAGCATGTAGCTGTGGACAACTGAAAATTAAGGTGGGATTCAGGTGCATAAACACATGCTGTTTCCAGGAAAGCAGTGTCTGGGGCACTGGATGTCAGCAGGGCTGTGGTGGGCGTACTGGGGGTGGGGGAGTCCCACCCTGGGGTGGCAGCGCTCAGTGTCCACCACGAGCCCCGGCACACCCCGGGACCCCACTGCTGCTGCTGCTCAGCACCTCTCCCTCTGGTCCACGCGGCCCCAAAGACTCAGGCGGGCAGAAACCACCCTTCTCCTAACACATCATTCCTCCCTGTTGCAAACTCACAGGCTTCTCACAGGGGCCTGAGAAATGCCCCGCCGACCAGGGCTCCCTTTCTCTTGTCCTTGCCCTGGATGCCACACTCCATCCTTTTGGCCTGACACCGTACCCTGCCTTTCTGCGCCGTTTGGCAGGGACAAGGCGCCCTGTTTGAGGTGCCAGGGAGGTGGCAGCCACCACTCCACATCACAGCAGCATGCACCGGCCTTGCTGGGGCTGAGCCAGGCTTGAAGGACTGTATGGCTAGTGCGCTGGCATCCACAGGGCTGGATCACATTTGTAACACTTCTGCAAGAGGCTTCGTCTTCACCCATGAACCTGCCAAAACCTTTGCATCGAAAGAGCTGGCTAAGCTTGGCAGGTGTCCACAGAGGCGGATGGAGTGGGACTGCTGAAATGCAGTGGCAGAGGAGGGTAAAATCCCTGGTTGTAACCCAGGGGGACACGGCAGGTTGGGATGGGATAGGGTATGATGGGATGGAGTCTTTAACTGTGCTCATTTTACTTTGGGTGCCATGCAGCACGAAGGAAGCACTTTACCAACATCTCACATCTACCGATACCGTTGCTTCCATCACCCAACCCTATAGAGCACAGAGGGACTGGAAAGGCATCTGGTGGGGATAGGTATGAAGGCATTGCAAGGAAGGCAGCTGTATTTGGGATGCTGATGCCACCTCTGTCACTGGCAGGCACATGGGGAGTGATGCATAGGGTGGAAGTTTGGGTTAGGATGAGGTGGAAAATGACCCCAGGGAGCTGGGTGGGGGGAATCGGGGAGGGATCCAGATGTACCTGGGGAAGGACAGTGGTGAACCCTTGCCTCTGCAGGGGTACCTGCGGGGACAGAAGCTGCCTCAGAGGGGCAGTGAGGGCAGTTTTTTTAAAAAAGACGACCACAGGTGACATGATTTTTAAATTTTATTTTTATGTGAGAGGTTGCTTTTGCTTGCCTTGGGGGTGCTGGGCTGCAGCCAGAGCATCCCATCATGGGGTGGGTGAAGGCACATCCTCACAGGATGGTGACAAGCTCTGCAGGATATTTTCTTTTGCAGTGCGTTTACGTGTGAAGATGTTTCTGCCCACCCTGTGGGAAGCAGAGAGCTCCTGTGGGACAACCTGCAGACAGCACCCACTCAGGGCTGCCAGTGCCAGCAGGTGACAGGGGTGTCCCTAAACACCCCCCAATTTGCCTTGAACAGCTGCCAGATGCCCCTGGCCAGGGCAAGCCCCTTACCAAGAGGCACTGGCACCCCGACTGCAAACCCATATTGGGGGGTTCCCAGGAGTGGTCCCCTCGCCCAGGGGGATGCTTGTCCTCAGAGGCCCTAGGGAGGGCCCCTCTGTGGGGCCACTGCCCCCCACATCTCCCAGATACCTTGTGGCTTTCCAGTCCTCCCTGAGGGACCCAACGGCTTCACGCAGCAGCCACATGGTGGTCAGCGTCTCCTTCCCGGCTGTGTCCACGAAGCACTGCCCCGCAAAGGCGGTGGTGGCATCTGGGGAAGCACTTGGTGGGGGGTCGGTGGGGACGGCACCCGTGTTCGCTGGCTGCTTCCCCCTCCCCAGGGTCCTCCCGGCTGCAGCGGTGTTCCCACTCCAATGGCCACCCAACCTGCTCCGGGGGCACCTGCCCTACCCCAGCAGCTCCCTCAGGCGAGGCAGGCTCTGCGGCACTGCATCCCCCATGCCCTAACGGGGTCCAGACCCCCCACGGTCACCTCAGGCTGCCTGGCAGGGATGGGTGCAAAGATGCTGGGTGAGGAGGGGCTTCCCCGTGTGAACCCAAAATTGCCCATTAGCCCCACGCTGAGCAGGTGTTGCTGCCTCCCTCTGCTTAGCTGCACCAAAGCATCACCCAGCAGAGTTCCTGGCAGAGGAAAAAATCCTGCTGGCTGCCTGCGTGGCTGCCGGTGCCCCCATGGTGCCATCCCCAGGTATCCCAGCACTTACTGGAGAACTTGTCCCAGCGCACAGTGAAGGCAAAGGTGGGCCAGCCCCCCTCTCCAGGCTGCTGCTGGGCGCCCGTCAGGGGGGAGGCATGGGCGCAGCCACCGGCAAGGGTGACCCGTGTCAGGTATTTCCCCTTGAAGGTCCCGTCGTCCCTCACTGCCGAAATCTCCATCAGTGAGTCCTGCTCATTCCTCCACAGCCCGGTGAGCTGGCACTGAAGGAACATGGCCACGGGCCCTCTGTCCCCCTGCATGGTGCAGAGGGGGCCCCATCCCTCCCACTGCCCCACGGCTGGAGCTGCCAAGCCCTGCTGCAAGTGTGACTGTGGGGCACAGCTCTCCCTGTCCCTAGTTTGGGAAATGCTCCCCGAGGTGCTGCTGGCTGATGAGTGGACAGTGCAGCAAGGCCAGGACATCCCAGCCCATCAGCATGCATACACCCAGACACAGACCCCATGGGAGGGGATGCCCTGTGCACTGTACCCTCCTGCACAGACCCTGTGGGAAGGGATGCCCCGTGCATGGTGCCCCGGACACGTATCCCATGGGAGGGGATGCCCCATGCATGGTGCTCCCCAGCACAGATGCCATGGGAGGGAATGCCCTCTGTGTGGTGCCCCTGCGGGCGCAAGGCTTTGTGGAGGTGGTACCAGGTGGCTGAGCATGACCCAGAGATACCCTGCCCATTGCCTGGACTAAGTGCTTGCGAAGTTCTCCTGTTTGTCCCACTCTAAAATGGCATTTAAGAGAGAACCCCTGGCTGCCCATGCTGCATCCCAGCACCATGTCTGCCACATCCCCATCGCCACCCGTCCCCATACCTTCCTCTCCGCAGGGGTGACACATGCTGCCAGGGCCAGGGTGAGGACCAGGGCAAAGGCACCGCTCTCCATGGCCACGAGGATGCGAAGCACCCAGCACGGCTCCCTCCCGGCCCCGCACCCCAGCCCCCTTTATAGGGCTGTAACTGGAGCCCCGCGGGCACCGGGCTGGCGGCCATGGGGCGGGTGGCCTGGTGGCAGGGTGCCCGGGACAGGACAGGCGAGGTGAGGAGGTCTGTGTGACCTGGGCAGTGCCGGAGGAATGCGGGGATGAGCACGGCTGTGGAGAAAGGTGGGGAGGCAGGGATGGTTTGCACATGCACTATCCAAGAGGCTCTGCCAGCCCATTCCTTGCTCTGTGAAGGAGTGCTTGGGGTGGGCACAGCTTGGCACTGCCCCACTGCCACCGTCCCAGTGCTGCCATCCAAACGCAGTGCTGCAGCAACTACAGCCTGACCACCTCTTCTCCGCTGCACTGAAGGGTGGTGTGTCTGTCCATGGGAGTTCGTCCTCATGGCTGTCCCCTCACAAGTTTCTGCTGCAGTTTCTAAGCTGTTTTTTCTCCTGGCTGTGCTGGGTTTTCCCTGGGTCTGGGAGCTGTGACTGTTACTGCAGCAGGAACTCTTGGGCACCCCAGAACTGATCCCTCTTGTCAGTGCAGAATGGCTTTTCTGGAAGATAGGTAGAGATATTTAAAATTTGCTTGTTCCCGTGGAGGGCATGCCCTGTGCAGGGTGCTCCCATGCCACATGCATGGTGCTTTGAGGCTGGGTGGGGTACAGCTAGATGGCAGAACCCTGTCTGAGCCCTTCCAAGGGGTCCCTAATGGTACAAGACTGTAAGAAGGATGTGCAGGTGGGCAGGGATCCTCGAACGACCTGGCTCTTGCACAGGGACACGGCACAGCCACCCCCTCCAAGATACCTCTCCAGATGGGTGAACATGTCGCTGCTGATGCTGCAGGGGAAGACAGAGCTGGCACCTGGCTGTGTCCAGTTCAGGAGGGATCTCTCTGAGCCCTGCCCTGCACAGGGGATAAGCATCTGCTTCAAGCATCCTCCACAGACACATCTGTCCCAGGCTTGAAGGCACCAGGAGAACCATTCTCCTCTTCCTGAGGAGTGGGATGTGGTGATGCCCATGTGCAAATTGCACTTTGTTTTTAATTATAAAATTATAGTAGCTGCCTTCAGCTCCCATCCCAGGGACTTGCTCCAAAAGCCCTTGAGGTCCCAGCACCACTCTCCCTTGAACATCCTCCACAGACACATCTGTCCCAGGCTTGAAGGCACCAGGAGAACCATTCTCCTCTTCCTGAGGAGTGGGATGTGGTGATGCCCATGTGCAAATTGCACTTTGTTTTTAATTATAAAATTATAGTAGCTGCCTTCAGCTCCCATCCCAGGGACTTGCTCCAAAAGCCCTTGAGGTCCCAGCACCACTCTCCCTTGCTTGCTGCCCAGCTGAGTCCCAGCACCGGCACCCACACCCAGGGCTCAGCATTCCCCCCGGGGTCTCCATGCTGCACCCATGGGTGCAGCCCCAGCATGGAGTAGGGATGGAGAAGTACCTTGCAGCCCTGCTATGCCTGGAGCCTACCCATTGGCTTTCCAGTCATCCTTGAGGCTGTCAACCTCAGTGATCCACATGGTTCTCAGTATTTCCTTCCCATCCTCGTCCACAAAGCACTGGGCCACGGAGGTGGTGGTGGAGACTGCAGGGAAAGGGTGGGAGGTGGGAGAGGGTGCTGGGATGGGTTTTCCCTCTGTTAGGCAGACAGCTTGCCAGTGTGGGAGTGCAAAAGGCTGCTTGTGGGTGGGTGGTTTCCCTCCCCAGACTCCTGTCCTGCTGGGACTGGGGACGTGGCACTGGACAGGCATGGGATACACAGGATGTGGGGGGACGAGCCCAGCTGAGCCTGCATCCAGCTCTGCCTCACCTCATCCTGGGCAGGACATGCCTGGACAAGAGCCAGAGGTGGGGAGGTGGGGACCAGGGGTGCCACCAGCTCTGGGGGTGGGGATGGGGGAGCACTGGGACACCCCAGGTGGGCAGGTGACCATCAAGGACACCACAGGGAGGGCTGGGGAGCTCTGGGGACACTGTGGAGATGTGGAAGCACTGGGGACACCGCAGGGGAAGGCAGGGGATCATCAAGGACACTGTGGGGGAGGGCAGAAGAGCATCAAAGACATCACAGGGAGGGCAGGGGAGCTCTGGGGACACCACAGGGAGACTGGGAAAGGAGAAGCACCTGAAAAGCTCCTGTGGATGGTGAAGCCGAAGGTGGGTTGGCTCTTCTCGTTCATATGGTGCTGGGACCCCTGCAGCAGTGACAGCCAGATCTTGTTCATGGTGGCTGTCACGGCCATGTGGTAGGAGCTGGTGAAGTCACCTTTTCTGTTCACAGCCGTGACAGTCATGTTGGAGCCCAGGTCATTGATCCAGCACCCGGTCAGCATGCACTGGAGTGGAGGGGACTCAGAGTTGGTGCTGCTGCTCAGCCCAGGCTCAGGCAGGGTGGCAGGAACAGGCACCCCCGGGAGCTGCAGAGGGGAAGGGGGACAAGCCACAGGTCCCTCATCCACCCAAGAGTATGTACTGCCAAGTGTGAGGAGCTCAGCCGTGGGCTGGGGAGGCAGGTCACATCTGGGAGGGTGCCCCAGCTCCTGGACAGCCCCAGGGCTGGGGACCTGGCCAAGGAGCTCCTCCATCCTCCCAGGATGATGGTCCATGCTCCGCAGGCTGCAGCCAGAGCTGGGCAAGGAGAGAGGCGGAGGAGCAGAGCAGGGTGTGCAGCCCTGACCAGGGAGCTGGCTGGAGTGACGACCTCATGAACGTGGCGGAGGGGGCAGGAGCTATGGGGCTTCATTTGTAAGTGAAGTTATAGGCTTGAAAATCAGATTTATTCTTCTGTCATCACTGCAGTGTGGCTGGGTACCAGGCTGTGCCTGTGCACACACCTGGACAGACTAGCCATGGAGTCCCCAGGTGACCTGGGAACTCCCCGGCTCCATCTGCTTGGGTGGGACAACAACTGGACAGAGACAGATGTTGAGCACTGAGATGTTCAGTGTTGTGACATTTGTAAACAGTCAATAGGAGCAGCCCCTGCAGAAATGGTTGCACAGGACCGTCTTCTGCATGTAGTTAAGACATGTAAGTGTTGGAGGACCCCTGCAACAGAGACCCCTTCTCCATCTGGATAGTGACTGACTGTTTGAGGGATTTGATCCCCTGTGTGAGCATGCCAAGATCCCAATAAATTAGTTTTTCTTTTTTTAACCAATACACTATGTGAGCACCTGTGCAACACAGACACGGATGCAGTGATACGCTGCGCTTGACTGCAAGATGCCTCCTGCCTCTCCGGCTCACCATGCCCCTGAAGACATTCACCGTGCATGAGTGACCATGACTAAGACTTGCCATGCAGTGGCAATGGCTGGTTTTCCTCCCAGAGGAAGGGCTGATGGAGACCCCGCTGCTCACCTTTGCTACACTGATGACCCTGAGCTGAAAGGAGACAAATACTGCTGGGTTTGCAGCTCAGAGAGGCAGAGCAGACATGAGCAGTCTGCAAAGCACTGAGAACAGGTCTTGCAGCTGGGTAAAACCCAGTGCTGATGAATGCCCATGGGGAAGCATCCTCAGCCTCAAACCCCTCCAGGCCACTGCAGACAACCCTGGCACACCATGTCCTATCAAAGGACATGCCACCCCAAAACCGAGATGCTGGATGCATTGCAGCCCTGCTGGGTGCCCTGATATAGGGACTGGCCTTGGAAACAGCTCTGCCAGTCCATGTCCACTGCATTTCTCACCCGCACCATGGCTGCCTGCAAGGGTTTGCAGACTGCTCAAACTGTGGTCAGTGCTGCTGCCTTGCTGGAGCGCCCCAGGACTGCTGCACAGCCTCCAGGGAGCCCTGCCCCAAGGAAATGTTGACATGAAGGCAATAATAAAATCAGGAGGATGCTCGCAGTAAGGCTGCAGGCTTGGCCACTGCTGAGCTGGCCACACTTTGGGGTGAGAGCAGAGTCCTGTGGTCCCTCTGCCACCCTCTTTCCTAATCCTCAGGTTCCTCTAAAGCAGGTAAAAGGCTGCACACACCAAAGGACACCATAGCAGAGGGCTGGCATACAGGCATACAGAAAGGTTGTAAGGAAACTGAAAAAGTTGGAGAAATTCCAGTGAGGCACCGAGAAGGAACCAGCAGCATCGCTCCAGAAGTGGAATGTAGATCCAAGCAAGAAAAATGTGAAAAGCAAATGACATGCAAGTCTGCAACAAGGTGGACTAAAACACAGAACAGGCAAAACACTCATTAAAGCCATGGATGCTGTTAGCAAAGCTCTTCCATGGCATTCATGGCAGGAAAACCAGGGGATCAGTGGGAGGTAGCAGTCCCACCTGCCCATTCCTGCCTTTTGGCTGCTCAGATCCCAGGCAGGGTTCCAGCGCAGGGCATGCAGCACCGTCCAGGGCTGTTTTGGGACTGGACAGCTTGAGAGTCATGTTTCAGATTCAGACCCAGAGTTGAGTTGCCTGGAAATCATTCATTTTGGCTGGGAGGGGTGACTGAGGCAACACCAGCACTGCCCATTACAGTAAATTACAAAGTCTGGCAGGCAGGGAGTTGGGGCTGGGTTTGCTGGACATGTCCTTTCCAGTAAATGACACACACTTCCCTAGGAAGAGTTTTGGGGCTGGATGTGCTGCAGCTACTGGCACTGTGCCGCCAGTGTGGAGCAGCCCTTGCAGCTCACCAGGGTCATGGACACAGCCGAGACCCCGCACCTGCCTGCCTGAGGGCTGTCTTGGAGCCCGGGGCCTCCCAGCCAGCTTTTTGGGGCGCAGAAGGCCCACCCAACTTACCCTTCCATCATGCTCACCCAGCATTGAGCAAGGAAGAACGAGGGCTAGCCCATGCTTGGCATCAGAGGGTCACTTTGGGGATACACCATCCCATTTGGGCTGGAAAAGGGGCTTTCTTGCGGCCAGTCTCTTCCCGGAATAACAGGGGGAGAGCTTCACCTCCCACTGCACCTACCGCAGTGCTTTATCCCAGCTTCCCCAGGACATATCCACAGACTGTGGAAGGTTGGGTTTAAAGGAAAAAAAACTCATTTTATTTGGTTTTTGGGGACATCTTCCCACAGAGCTGCTAACAACCCCCATGCCTGTGCACACTGATGCTGCTGAGGGGTATCCTGGTCTCCCAAGACCGGCTGAAGTGAATCACTGCAGCCAGTCCTGTGGGGAAGCAGAATCCCATTGGTGCCCAGCCAGCAGAGAGGCAGGAGTCCCATCCGGGTGTCCCTTGGCTCAGCTGGTGGCTTTCCAGTCACTGAGCAGGAAAACTTCTTCCAGTTGACAGTGAAGCCAAAGGTGCACTGCCTGTCCTCATCCAAGCGCTGGGAGCTGACGAGGCAGGACAACTCCATGGGTTTCTGGGTGCTCAACACAGCGGTGTGGTACTTGCTGGAGAAGTTGCCCTGGCCGTCGACTGCAAACACACGCATCCTGCAGCCCAGCTTGCTCTCCCACCAGCCGGTCAGGTCGCATTGCTGGGGGACAGGCAGACGTGTCCCTGGGGGATGCCTGCACACAGCCCCTACCCCTGACCCATGGGCTGAGCCCCCTGCCTGTGTCCCCACAGTGCCCACAGGGTGCTGGCCTCACCTTGCTGTTCCTTGTGGGGTGTTTCTGCTTGCAGCTCGGCCACCACTTGGTGTTGGTCACCTTTGCCTCCTTTGTGCTGTCCTTTTCCCCCCAGGATCTCGTCTGCCTGGCAGAGGAGCTTGGAAAAGAAAGAAAACACGAGGGCAATCTGTGGGCAGTGGTACAGCAGGGTGTTTCTGGAGCCCTGCGACTGCTCAGGCACTCGTTTTTAAGAGGCGTGATTTATAAAGTTGAAACCATCTCAGTCATGTCAGGAGGGCCCAAAGCTGGGGTAAGCCAGGCAGAAGGGGAGAGGTGAAGAAGAAAAGCTAAAGGCAGGAGCCCCAGCCAGGTAGGAACACAGGTAGGACCCCCACTCTGGCCCTGCCAGGTGAGCTATGCAACCCCAGGACACATCTGCCTGTGCATGTCGAGGATGTGTGCCATGCTCGGCACCAGTATGTGGCATGAGTAGAGAGCCCACCAGGATGGGCAGAGCCCTCGGGTTCACGTTGGGCTCCTGCATGGCCAAGGAGGCAAGACAGCCCTGCAGCATCCCACCTGCAAGGCTCCGGCTCCTGCTCCGAGCACTGCCTGTCCTCTCCCACGCTGCACCTCCCTGGGCAGGGGCAAGGCAACCCAGGGGGCAGGATCCCCAGGTTACCCCTGCCCCAATTCCTCTGCATATCCCTGGGTGACAGGGATAAGGATGAGGATGGAGAGGGAGATGGGGATGGAGATGGGGACTGGGATGCGGATGGAGATGGGGATGGAGACGGGGACAGGGACGGGGACAGGGACAGGGATGGGGCTGGGCACAGGGATGAGGCTGGGGATGCAGACAGGGCTGACTGGAGCTGCCCGCTGACGTGGCCCAGCCTGGGGGTCCCCGGCCCAGCCTGGGGGTCCCCGGCCCAGGTCACAGTGTCTCCTGGCTGAGGGTTGTGTCTGGGCTTCACCCCTGCACCCCAAACCACCCTCTGGTTGCTACAGGGCATGGACAGAAGGACAGGGAGTCACAAGGGCAGGGTGAGGGTATGCGTGCGGGGACGGCTGGTGATCTGCAGCGGCTCCAGGGATTTGACAGGCAAAGAAAGCGAACCTGCCCCAACAGCAATAGGAAAACCCCAGGGCATTGTGGGCCGTAGGTGCTGTCCTGGTTTCAGCTGGGATAGAGTTAATTTTCTT